AGGTTTAGGACTTTTTTGGCACTTTTCCCTTTGTTTTATCTAAAAAAAATTTGGCCATGCATCTTTATTTTTGAAAATTAAGTTAGTTTTGATTGTTAATCAAAACGCTTAAACGAAAAGGCCGTGCAGATTTCAGGGTAGGACTGAGCCTGTATCCTGCAAACACCAACTTTAAAATTTTTTTAAAATTGGATCAGGTCTCCTCCAATGACAAACCTAATCTTGGACCCAGGTTCCAAATCCGATATATCTGGTAAATATTTCTGTTTCTCTCAGACCACTACAAGAGATATATGGAAGAGAAGTAGGAGAAGACACTCGACGACGAGGATAGCTTTAGTGTAAGTCTGCAACATGTCTGGCATCTACGGTTCAAGAGACGCGGCTGTTGAGGTTTGCGAGTCAATTTTGCTTTTACATAGGTTTCAGGTTGTGTTACTGAAGATGCCATTGATTACTATCTCCATGTGCGAAAAGAAAAATTGGTTTTTCATATTGATCCAACGCAGAACGCGACTACTTTCTTTTAATGGGTTTCGCTGTTTATGTTTATTCTAATGAGATTGCGTATTCCCCTATGGTAGTGTTGCTGACAATGTTGTGTTTTGGCTTAAGACTATTAACGGATGTGTGATTGGAGCCAACGGTGTGAAGACTAGAGGGGTCGGATCAAGTTTCAGTGAAGACAGTTTGGGACTTAACGATGACAGAGGCAGAGGTAGAAAGCGAAAAATAGGCTGCAATTGCGAAAGGGATTGCTGTCGAGAGCAGGATCGGTCTCAAGACGATGCTTCGAACAGGTTAAGTGGCTCCGCGCACACAGGAGATGAGGATAACTGGAGCGATCATTTAGATGACAATTGAGCAATAGCACAAGAACAAGAAGGACAACAATTGTGCAAGGAAGGTGGGTCTTAGCCATCTTAGGGCTACTGTAATGCAGGCCAAGCAAAAGGCTGAACAAGGTGAACAACATTCAAGATCAGACTTATCTGTTTGCTTTTTGTACTGTCCTCTTTGTAATTCTTTTTTGTTTGTATAAGTTGAAATGGGTATGGTAATAGATGCACGAGAAAAGAATAGGTCATATCTACCGGTTCTTTTCACTTCATAATTTTTCTTTTTCTTTTTTTGCAGTTTACCTATGCATTCATATACAACCCTACGCCAAGTTTGTCGTAGAAAACAATTGTCTTACGATCATTCGGAACTTCTCTTGAAAAAATTTCTGATCTTAGCTATTTGTGAAGGCTTCCAAAGAGCCATCAAGGAGATCGTTTCAGCTTGTGTCGTTTATGCAAAACCGTTATCCCTTGTGCTAAAAACAGTATTCTTGAGCCAGATATATCGAATCAGGAACAACTCAGATGTCCCTTTTAGGTGTATTGCGAAAGATTATATGCTCGAAGTCGTCATGCTCGACAGGGAGCTAATGCCCGGAGATCATGTCGACATCCCGAGTGCTCGTTTTATACGCACATGGAAGATCCATTTTTACCCGAGGTTAGCGGGAGAGTATCCTTTTGATATGTATGGATTTTGCGAACATGAAATTGTCTATCCCAACGGAGTCAAGGCTATGGATGTGGCAGGATACATCAACTATTTGGACTTGGAATGGTCATGTGATGTTTCACTCGATAGGAATGGTTGGTGAGAAGAAGGGTAGTTGGTTGATTTCTTTCTCTTAAGAAGTTGCAACCATCTTTTGATGGGATATGGAATTCGACTTCATTTTCATTATAGCCAAACCATATGATTTTATATCTCGCAATCAAGCGCTCCATGCCGAGTTATCGCCTCACTAATCATGGAGAGTCGATCACGAGTCGAAGTAAATGATTACTTATATCGTTTAGAAAAATTTGTTGACGAAAAATATTTTCATCATCGATAATAATCTATGCCTAACTATTTTCATGGGCAATGAAAAAAATTTCCATTCATTTATTTTTCTAAACGATATAAATGATCATTTTTCGGATAATGTTTTCCAAATTACTCATTTGCCGCAAAACGAACAATTACATCAAATATCTTAAGAACGATTTACTACAAAGATTACTAAATATAGTGACATCCATCATCGAATCCATTTATCCCTCTCTATTCAATCAATCTAATTTTCTTACATTAGCATAATTGCCAAGTGACTAAAATATAGTCGCATCCATCATCGAGTGCACGTGACTAAAATAAACTTCCACATAGGGAAAGAAATCTAAAATTATCCCTAAAACACATTTTAAATCCATAAACATTTATCCCTCGCTCGTAGAAACCCTAAAACACATCGCTTCAGAAAACACGAAGTCTTAGTTCTCGAGTCAGATAGTTCAATTTTGATAAGTGTTTTGAAGTCCATAGATCATACTCCGTGAAAAGATCATACTCCGTGTGGTTGTCACGGAATGCCATGATCTGTTGGTTCAATTTTCTGATATTCACTTGGACTGAACTTAATTTTAGGGCAAAACGAAGTTGTTAATTTTGAAACTCTACAATTATCTTAGTTTTAAGAGATCTCCATAGATAATGCACCGTACGTGTTTGCTTCTAGGCTCCTTTGTGTCCTTATTTACTTCTCGAGAAAACTAATAATCATCTTGATAAAAAAAATGAAAAAGAATCATTAATATAGACTTTTGTGTGAAAATCCCAATAAGCCTTTCAATTAAACTCCAAGTAAAATCAAATTCAGAACATAAATTAGTGTTTTTAAGTCCTCGCAATGCGCGTGCTGAAATTTCACACATCATGTGACTATAAGGTTTATATTTCAACGGCACGGGGATTAAACTAGTTATAAATCGAGTGCAAGGAAGGAGATTACTTTAGGTTTTGTGGCGCTCTCATTTTTTCATGAACATATTTGGCACCATTTCTTGATAACCTTGCACGACTGTAATCCCCCATAAGATCGTTCGGCTTCTTGAAGAATGAACCGATCACATTTGACCCTAAAAGCAAAACCCGACCACATTCGATGCCACTGCGACGAAATTCTTAATATTTTCTTCAAGAGGGCATGATGCAGAATTTATAATAGGGAAATTAAACGATGGCCCCATGCATTAATGTCACATGCACGTTAATTGGCTCGTTGTAATGTCTACTAGTGTAGGGGCCCACCCGCGCTATGTCGCGGAAAAATAAACTTTTTTTTACAGCACAATTTAACTGAAAGATCAATTTTGGTTTATTATCTTTAATTAAACAATGTCATCATGTTAAATAATATAGTTTTTAGTTATACAATAGATATCACATATACGGTAAGGTTTGGTAATCAAATTTTAAGCAGGTTGTTCGATGGAAGAAGGGGAGCAAAACGTAGAGTAAATGTCGAGGTCGGTTGGAAGAAGTTAGCTAATAAGTCTGAATCACATGCTGCCTTGAAATTGCACGTTGCTGCGAAATCGTACGCTGCCTTAAAATTGTATGCTTGACTTCGAATTACTTGCTATCGTGATGAAATTGCACAATGAACGCTGATTGAGGCCGGAGGTTATGAATGTGTGTCGCTAGTAGAGTGCACGTTGATACAACAAATGCGCATTGTTATGGATTGCATGGTGTTACAAAATGCACGCTAATACTGGAATTGAATGTTGTCCCGATGGAATTGGATTTGTCCCTATTAGGTATTAGTACATGTGGTGTATCGATTTGGCATTGGATTCATGCTGTGTGCTAATAGAATGTTGATTTCGCGGGATTGGATACATCCTTGTTAATTGCTTTGTACTCACGCGCTACTTGCGTACACGAGGCGTGTTGTCTTTCTGCATGTTGGACCGGATTCATCCCCACTGCATTGGTTTAGAATATACACGAGATGTGTTGCTTGAGCGTGTTGTTTGGACCGGATTCGTCCTGCTTTGTTTTTCCGTCGTTACAATGTCTGATTGATGTGTGGATTGGATTCATCCATTGGATTTGCTTCGAACGCTTTGCATATTTTGGAGAAGACACCAATCACGCACATCACGAGGGGTCGAGTCGTTGTCCCTTCCCCAAATGATGTGGTGACTTCACCTGAGGGCAGGCGTCAAAATTTTTCTATCTTTCAAAACCCAAAAGAGAACTATACGATGTTTCGCAGATCAGTTGACACTTAGGTGGTTAATTGGCCTCCTCTAACACCTAGCATTTTGGGTTGTCGATCGACCTAGAAACAATTGGTGGCAACTCCTAGTATGGTTTTAAGCACACCCGCATTTAGGGAAGCGAAGACTCTAGGTCGTAGATTGCGGGACGAATTTTTCTCGACTGACTTGGTATTTGATTTCGAAAGCAAGCTCCTTTCATCGGAGTATCTGGAGTGACCCCAAAGCCGCGACGGGGCGAGTGGAGCCGTGGCGCTACAGGCTGGGGAGTCCTCTGGGATTGGTTTCGAAACAACACCTGAGAGGATCCAGGCCACCGTTGATTGATGCTCAGCATCTGCTCCGTGTACGAAAAGACCCCGAATAAAGTGCCAAAAGATACAGAATGCATGAGAGATCCTCCTGGACTATAAAAGTGAACTTCATTCTATGAACACCAGCAGTTTGATATTCCCACGTAGCTCTTTGGTTTTGAAATACTCTCTCTTTTGTTTCCATCTCTTCTTGCTCTTGATGGCAAAAGGTGCACAAACAAGATCAGGAACCAAACAGTCTCAAATTCTCAAAGATTCCACCATGATTGATGGACGGCTTCAATGAGACAAGCCAAAAAAAGGGCCTGGCTTTGATGTGTGCGTCTCTCTCTCTCTCCCTCTCTGCTTCTTTCTTACTGTCACGAAAAGAAAAGAATGATGCTCACAATCACATACTTCTGTGAGAGATAGGCAGCCCAAATAAGCAATTGCCCTCCTTTTTTGGCCAACATTTCTTTTCTCAGGTAAGATTTGTCAGATTCTTTTCTTTTTCTCTTCTCTCACTTCAAGGAAAATGTTCGTTCTCCTCCTCTATCAATCTCTTTCAGGGCCCATCATAGCTTCGATTATTCGAAAATGTATAGGACTGGTTAACAGAAGAGCCGCGCCATGCCTCGGTGGTTTTCTATAAAATGGTGAGAAACATTGTGAGGGTGAATAACATAGACTTGTGAGAATTGTGAGTCTTTCGTAATCTAATGGATTCGAGCCCCTCCTTGAAGAAGAGGGAGTCGGTCGCCGCCAGCATGCCCGAGGCGCTCAGCCAGAGCCGGTACCACATGAAGAGGTGCTTCGCCAAGTACATGGAAAAGGGGAGGAGGATAATGAAACTCCACCACTTGATGGATGAAATGGAAAGCGTCATAGATGCCAAGACGGAGAGGGACCGCGTCCTGGGCAGTGATCTCGGGTACATCCTCTGTTACACTCAGGTTCGTTTGTCCCCACCTAAGGCTCTTTCTCTTTCCTAATGTTCTCCGCCGATATGATTGTTAACTCTCTCATCCCAACTGAGGCATCGCAACCCAAACATTTTTCCCAGGAAGCCCTTGTTGTCCCTCCACACATCGCTTTCGCCGTGAGACGGAGTCCTGGAAACTGGGAATTTGTCATAGTCAGTTCTGACTCTCTGTCCGTGGAGGGCATCAGTGGCGCTGATTACTTGAAGTTCAAGGAAATGATATATGATGAAGAATGGTTTGTAGTCTCCTTGGTTTCGGACTTCTTGTCATATGCACTCACCTTATTGCTGTTTGGAACCATAGTACATGTTTTTCCATTTTCCTCTACTACTCTCTATGTTTTGCTGGCTCAAGAGCAAAGTTTTCCGCTCTCTTGGCAGGGCAAAAGATGAGAATGCCCTGGAAGTGGACTTTGGAGCTTACGACTTCCCCATTCCGCACCTGACCTTATCTTCATCTATCGGGAATGGAGTCGATTTCATCTCAAAGTACCTCTCCTCAAAGCTGAGCGGAACGCCAGACAGTGCACAACCCCTTGTGGATTTCCTAGCATCCCTCAATTATCAAGGAGAAGTACGCAAAACTCATTCACACCCCGCGAGAATTATATGAGCAGATGTAATTCCTAACCCGATTAATCTTCTTCATTTTCAGAATCTCATGGTAAATGAAACACTTGACACTGCACCCAAGCTTCAGATGGCCCTGATTGTAGCTGAAGCATCCCTTGCATCAGTTCCAAAAGACACTCCATTCCAAACCTTCGAGATAAGGTATTTTCTAAAGTTTCCTCAGACAAATCCAGTAGGTCTTTGACTGACATCTGATACCACGAACATTTTCACTGTTTGTAACAATGTTAATGATAGGTTCAAGGAGTGGGGCCTCGAGAAAGGTTGGGGCGATACGGCGGAGAGAGTCAAGGACACGATCAGATCGCTGTCGGAAGTACTACAAGCACCGGACCCGACAAACATGGAGAAGCTCTTTAGTAGACTTCCAATAATATTCAATGTTGTGATATTCTCCCCCCATGGTTATTTTGGCCAGGCGGATGTGCTGGGCTTGCCAGATACCGGTGGGCAGGTAAATATCCTCATCAATCCTCACATTCGTTCCTGTTCACTGTCATATAGTCTGCTAAATATTTGTTGGCAACTACAACAGGTAGTTTACATTTTAGATCAAGTGAGGGCCCTGGAAGAGGAGTTGCTCCTCAGGATTGGACAGCAAGGGATTAATGCGAAGCCGCAGATACTTGTGGTCAGTTTCGGCACCTGACGAGCAACCGCTTCCCTGTAAATATATGTCAGTTTTTAGGAGTCGGTTTTCACAGTGTCTCTTTAACGTAACAGGTTACACGACTTATCCCCGATGCTCGCGGAACAAAATGCAACCAGGAACTGGAACCGATCATTGGAACCAAGCACTCCAACATTCTTCGGGTGCCATTTAGGACCGAGAAGGGCGTCCTTCGCCAGTGGGTTTCTCGTTTCGACATATATCCGTACCTTGAGAGATTTACCCAGGTAGGGATTCCAACTTCAAAATCAAACATTATCCCTGATCAACTTCTTTCTTGCATAATGGTTTCCTTCCTTCTGTCATCACTCACCAGGATGCGACTGTTAAGATACTAGACCACATGGAAGGGAAACCGGATCTTATAATCGGAAACTACAGTGACGGGAATTTAGTAGCGTCACTTATGGCTAGTAAACTGGGGATAACTCAGGTGCCTTATTGCTTCATCAGTTCACCAGCTAAGTGCTAATTCCGATTATTGACTAATCTAGAGTGCTTGAAAACCCAGGGAACAATTGCGCATGCACTCGAGAAGACTAAGTATGAAGACTCCGATGTCAAGTGGAAGGAGCTAGACCCAAAGTATCACTTCTCATGCCAATTCATTGCTGACACCATAGCAATGAACGCAACAGATTTCATCATAACAAGTACATTCCAGGAGATTGCTGGAAGGTCAGAGAAACGTCCAAATAACGTAACCTGCATTTGTTTGAGCTTTTAGCTGGGATAAACATATAATCTTCCACATTGTTACCGCAAAAAACCAATTTCAAAGTTAGCCAAATGAATAATTAAAATGAAGTATATTCTTAATATGCATCATCAAAGAGTTCTCAAGATTAGGTGCCAATATTTGCAGCAAAGATAGACCTGGGCAATATGAGAGTCATGCAGCATTCACACTCCCAGGGCTCTGCAGAGTTGTTTCGGGCATCAATGTTTTCGATCCTAAATTCAATATTGCTGCTCCGGGGGCTGATCAATCTGTTTATTTTCCTTACTCGGAGAAACAGAAACGAGTCACGTCATTCCATCCTGCAATCGAGGAGCTACTGTACAGCCGTGTGGACAATGACGAGCACATGTAAGTATTGCTGTTCCAGGCTGTGTCCTGAGCTCCTAAAGCTGTGTGTTAATATATCTGATTGCACTTTAATCACCATCGTATTTGACCATTGTGGCAACAGTGGGTATCTCACGGACAAGAAGAAACCCATCATCTTCTCTATGGCTAGATTCGACATAGTGAAAAACTTGACTGGTTTAGTAGAGTGGTATGGGAAGAATGCAAGGCTCAGGAATTTGGTTAACGTAGTCATTGTTGGGGGCTTCTTTGATCCTTCCAAATCCAAAGATAGAGAAGAAATGGCCGAAATAAGAAAGATGCACGGGTTGATAGAGAAGTACCAACTCAAGGGTCAGATCCGATGGATAGCAGCGCAGACTGATCGGTACCGAAATGGAGAACTCTACCGATGTATCACAGATACAAGGGGAGCTTTCGTGCAGCCTGCTCTCTATGAAGCATTCGGTCTGACCGTAATTGAGGCAATGAACTGTGGGTTGCCCACATTTGCCACCAATCAAGGCGGCCCGGCTGAGATCATTGTTGATGGAGTGTCAGGATTCCACATTGACCCCAATCATGGGGAAGAGTCCAGCAACAAAATTGCTGATTTCTTTGAGAAGTGTAAGGTGGACAACGAGTGTTGGAACAAGATATCTGCAGAGGGCTTGAAACGCATTAATGAGTGGTGAGTGTAATCTTCGCAAATATCCCGTACACTTTCATGGAATTGACTTGAACAAAACTCATTTGCTTTGCAGCTACACCTGGAAAATCTATGCAAACAAGATGTTGAACATGGGATGCATCTATACCTTTTGGAAGCAACTGAACAAAGAACAGAAGCAAGCAAAGCAGAGATATATCCAGATGTTCTATAGCCTTCAACTCAGGAACACGGTACTTCCTTTGTTCAGTTCCCCCCTTTTACTCTACGAGGCATGCTACAAAATTTCATGCCCTTCAGAAAATAAAGTGCTGGAATTCATGTTTTATGTAACAGATGAAGACTGTTCCTCTCAAAATTGATGAACCCGAACAACCGGCACCAAAGCCGCCACCAAAAGCACAGCCCACGATGAGGTAAATTTCCTAGGATAATTGCTGCATCTTTCAACGCATTTCAATTCTCAAAAGAAACATAGGATCAGATATCTTCTACCACATGCCTTATCAGGATTTCCTGTGAAAAGCTGAGGCATTTGCTTTGTTGTTGTGTAGCACAAGGAGGTCACAGTCGCGGTTGCAAAAGTAAGGATTCAGTGGCCCTACAGCTCCCATTTTAAATAAAATTCACTCTCAGCGATGTGAAAGCGACAGTATTCTGAAACATAATTGCCCTTGACTTTTCAGACTGTTGGGAGCCTAGAGGAATAAAACAAACGAGGAAGACATTGATTCAAACTGCAGGCAATCCTCCGCAATTTAGAGCCTGACTCTGCGTTGTCTAGCTGCTGAAAGTATTATCCAATATGTGTCGAGCAGCAAATATAATAATATGAAACTAAAGAATGGAATAATATGACGCACATTCTTTACTACCTCTTGCTTCTCTCGTCTGTGTACGTCGTCTCCTGCATCAGGTGCCTGTTTCATGCCACCAGGAATGCTAATTTGGATTGTCTGCAATGGACGAAACATGCACTCATTATCACATTTGGGGAAAAAGTTAATTCAAAGTCAGAAAACAGAAAAAGGAGAGGGGGGAGAAAACGAGGGAAACCAAAGGTGCCGTCAATGAACTCGATTCATGTATGTAAATACAATGCAAATTCACGTTGGGGACGCCAGCAAACCCTTCTGCCATGGAGTATTAGGCAGGCTTATTCTAGTAGCGACTATGATAAGAACTACGCACCATACAGAGAAAATAGGGAGAATCACCTCATGCAAATGAGGCATCTCTTCTCACCCAAACACTGGGCTCAGCCTGCAATCAAAAAGAATCACTTCCCCATTTTGACACCCTTTCCCGTTTGAATATTTCATAAATCTTTTTTTTTCTTTGATTATGTTCAAGCATTTCCAACTATATAAATGATGACAGAGCTCAAATGCTGTGTATCCCAGAACACGACTTGACCAGAGGACAAACCTTTTCATGGAATGTCCTGGACAAAGACGTTGCAGTTTTGTAATGATCTTATTCCTAGAAGTACTTGAAAGCTTTCGTAGTCTTAGGTGGACTCAACTTGGACCATATATGGTCACTAATAACAAATTGTACCAGCGTATATTTATATTTAAAAGCCCGATTTCATTTGAACTCGTTCAGTCTTCAAGCTCTGCTAGATCATTCATCTTCTCTTCCCTTTTTTTCACTTTCATAGTTACCCAATTGAAAATGAAATCAAAGATGAGAAGAAAAAGAGTGGATGACTAGAAAGGCTATTTATTTTCAGGAAACAACTACGTATCAAATTAACATACAAAGACAACAATCTTCTGGTTATGAATGTTTCCCACTAGAAAAGAATTTTCACTAGAAATGTGAAATAGCCACCACAATGTTGCTCATCTGATGCTCAGATTACTCTTATAACAATTTTGATAACGGGAATCGATTTACGTAACATTTTACGAGACGCAACAATTCTGAAAGTAGCCCAAGAAACATGCTAAATGGTGCTAGTAATGATCAGCTAATGATATCGGGGGTTGTCGTCTAGAGATGGCGACCATGACAACATGCGGGAGGGGGTGGTGGTTAATGACGGTAACCGTTCGACCGTGGCAACAAATCCGAAAAAACAGTTCTTTTATGTTAAAAGCACAGAAAGCTTTTCCAGAATGCAGGAAATCATTTTGCATGGAAATGAAAGGTGAGCCGTAATCATAAGCCAAATAGTAACCAGAGGAATTCTGACTCCCTGATACTTCCTTCTAAAGAATCTCAAACATAATCTAGAAAGCGGTTTCCTGCTCCGGCCATCAGAGAACTGCCTCAAACATTTATTCAAAGTGACTGCTGAGTAGAACACAGTGAAGAGACAGAAAAAGAAAGGACAGTATGTGAAGAATTTCTTCTATGCTGAGATCGCCGTATTTATTCATATCATGACTTTCTGTACAGTTTCTTTACAGCAAGTGAATTCTAGGAATTTCTCATTCTAAGAAATCAAGGACATCAATGACTACAAGGGGAAAAACAAGTATAAGACCCATAGTCATCGAGGATTTGCGTGTGCAACTTTAATAAACACACAGATGTGAAGAAAATGTTCCGGGTGCATTAAGTTGTTCACAACCCAAGAGAAAGGTAACTCCAATTTAGGCTCAATGCCGTGGATTCTTAAAAGCTTTAATTCAGCAGTGTTTGACGAAGAGTGAGGCTCGACAGCTTCACAGTTTTTTTCTGTCCTCTCTTCAGCGCTTCCACGCGCATCTTGGTTGTCCTCTTGAGAAACACAAGGAGCGTTCTTGTCATCCTCAACTTCTGTTTTAGACACATCCTCTTCGATGAATGATTTGTCGGTAAAAATCTCTGGTAAAAGAGCCTTCACTGCATCACCTAGTGTAAAGCATTTACCTACATTCCACGAGCTAAATTAACAATCTTATAAAAAAAATCACTAAATTGTTGAGACAGCTTGTCGTAATATACATCTATCCTGACAAAGTTAAGGAATGAAGAGGCCAACATATTAAACAGGACTGCGTATGGACACAACATAAGGGGCATGCATTGCAAAAACTGCAGCGTACATAATATGAAGTCTCTCTCGGGATATGGGAAGGCCTTAGAGTCAGAACCATTTTATAAGTGCTTTTCCTTTAACCTACACCCTACCTACATGAAAAATAGTTCTCAGCAATATAGTTCTCTACCATCCTACCCACACTGATATCTGTCATAGTTAACTATAAGTCAAAACACCTGAACCTGAACTTTGAAGCATTATCCCATCCATTTTAACTGTCAGAATGAGTTTGAACATCTCTCATTCGACAGTCCTTTGGACTTGAGCAATAGAATCTATACAAGCATCAAGTCCCTGGCTGCAGCGAGGGGTGTCAAGGGTTCTGTTCGGATCAGGCATTTAAGGAAACCCAAGCCTGCCCGAAAAGTCCCCAACATGAACAAGTTAACCTGAAAAGATTAGCCGAACTAAACAGTTTGAGACAAGTTGGGCTTCCGGTTCCCTGTTTGTTTTAGGCACTTTGCTTTTTTCATTTTCAAGAGTTTTAGAAGTTTTATTTTTCAATTGAAAAGGTATGGCAAAAATTATTCGGTACAGTAGAAAAAATTGATAAAAACACAGAATTAGATCAGCTAGAATCTCGATGAGTGGTGGTGGTCTTCATCTTCTTCATCCTTAGGCTTGAGAGAAGGACAAAAACAAACAGCAATCTGATATTCTATTGTTCATCACAGCAATATAATTAATGATTGACTGGAAGCGCATGGATACAGGTTATGCCTTGAAAATAAACAGTCTGGGAGTAGAGAGAGGAGTCGCTGATCTGCTTCTCATTTCATCGTTGGAGAGAGAGAGAGAAGGAACAAACTTGTGAAAATTTCATCGGAAACTGCTGGACAAGTGGTCGGACATCGTTAATCTTTCCGGCAAAGTCCACGATTGCTTGCATTCTCATCAAGCAATCCACGCTCAATCATCAATATTCGTTTGCCTAAATTTGTTCCTTTTGCAGATCTAGGGAAGAATCTATTGTTATTCATCTTCTTTTTTTTGCCTGGACGTGCTCCCTAAATTTGTTTTGGTTGTCTAATCTGTTGAGTTTTTCATGTTTTCTTTTTCCAATTTTTGGGTCGTTCTGCTATTTCAATTACCAACCAGATACACAAACAGAGCCTTGCAAGTAGGCTTTTTGTGTAGCCCGAACACATAATTATGTTACACGAACCAAACCGGAAAAAATCCAGTTCAATTTTCGGGCATCTTGGATACTTTTTGTACACCCCTAACTGTAGCTAACAGGAAAATAGAAAGCAATGCCAGTTCCTATAAACAATTGAATAAAATTCATAATAGGGAAATGACTGACAAGGAATGCTGTTATCCTGGAGGGGTAAATAATTGACCGGGCAAACAACCAGTTATAACATAAGGGTAATGCTGCCAATTAGGTAAAATCAAGGCTGTCATGGTTTACCTTCTTCTTTGAGAACCTCAACAGGGTGATTTATGTAAGAGATCTTGTCCCAACTATCAATTTCAGGTGCATCCTCTAACTCATCAAAATCTTCAGTAGCACTGCAAACATACAGTCGGACTGGAATTCTGCCTGAACGGAGAAAATTGAATATTATTTAAAGACAAGCATAACCAAGAACACAAAGGCCATGCGGCAGAGACAATGAGGATTCTGCAAACCTGTCTTGGCTTGTCCAGCCATATCTGTGTCAGCACTGCTTTCTTTGGATCTTAATGAAATTGAATTCTTCTTGACAATGTACTCATCCTCAAGTACACCAAGTTTAAGCTTCAGCGATACCTGCCGGTAGGCTTCCAGATCACCTGAAAAAGACGCAATACAGCCGAGTAACAATCACGAGATGCCCAATTGTTCACAAATTTCAAACCAGTAAAGCTGAAAAAAGTCCCATGTAGATAATCTGAAAAGATATCTCTTGCTTTCTGACATGCTTATCTGATTATCACCATACTAAGCCGTTCCTAATATATCTTCATATATGTGGAAGGACCATGAAGAGGCCTCAAGAAAATATTATTTGCAGATGTCTTAATACAAGAAAACAACACGGGGATGCTAATCATAAGGTTGCTCCTAAACAACCTGCAGAGGTCAGGGAAAAATCGACGCTGCAGTGGATTGATAAGGCTGCACACATTTATTTGACAATTCACCCCAGTTCCCATAATGTGGAAGGCTGGTGCAGTGATTTGTACACTTGACATATATAGGACACCGAAATGCGAAATCACCATTGACAAAGTCTAGGTGGCCCTTCAATGATCCTAATGGAAAATTAACTGATTGAAAAAGCTAAAAAATAGTAAGGACCCTTTTGTTACAACGTCTTCTAAGAAACAAGCTATTTATTTTCCCACCAAAACTTAAAATTTGTCCAAATTTGAAAAAAAAATACTAAATAATTATACGCGAATCTACATATTCACCTTTGTATGTTTCAAAAGGCTGTCAGCCGTTTCGTGCTAAAAAAAAGTCAAAGTGTGTGTGCCACGAGATTTGCAAAAAGCCAAAAGTTAAAAGCAAAAGTAACTCCAACCAGACCCTGAACTATTTCAAGGAAAATGACTAAAAGGTTGGATATCAACCATACGCTAATTGCAAAGGCTAGTAGCACAACGACCTTCTGTTTAATCTTTTTTGTTTAAAATGAGCAAGTATCAGAGTTTGTCTTCTTGTCCAGGAGCAAATAACAGAGTTCTTTTTTCTTGTAGAGGAGCCACTATTAAGTTTAAAGTCTATAAAGTAAAAAAACACCAGCGCATTGAAAAACCTCTGTCGATAGCATCAATACCATTCAAACTGGAATGGAACAGATGCAGTAACACTAGCACAGGACTCCCTTAAGAGCAAGGCTGACTATTTA